TTTACAAGGCATCTAGTTAGGTAGATGGCAAAACTCTCTTCAATAAACAGCTAATCATTCATAAGAAATCAGTTTACCTCTAAATTTGGTGACAAGTTCAACCCACTAGCCTTGAGACTGCGAACTCTGTGACCTCTGAGATCTAACCTCTGGTACAAAGAGTAATATGGGCAGTAATAAGTACAGAATGGAAGATATGATAATGTTTTACAAGTACTCATCTCCAACAGCATGGAGTAGACATGCAATTGAAAAACAAACAACACGATGATGATGATGGATACAAATCAAATAAGGTACCCAATGAAGCGCGTGTGAGAATGAAGAGGAATAACAGGCACACATACCACAAAGAGTCATGATAATAGATACAAATCAAATAAGGTACCCAATGAAGCGCATGTGAGAATGAAGAGGAATAACAGGCACACTTACCACAAAGAGTCATGAGGACTATTCAATGCATAAGTTTTTATTCGTATCGTATAGCAGGTCACCATAATTTAGCATTGAATCCAAGTGATGAGCTACCAATATCTGGAAATCATAGTTACTGACCGCCCATTGTTGTGTTTAATAGGGTTTTCTCCAAATGCCTTTTCAAAGTCTATTTCTATCATTTAGTCGCTTGTAATTTGCCCAGGACATCTCTGAGAACTTTATAATAACATTTAAAGATAAAGGACTTCCATATTCTATTTACTCTTTCTTATTTTGGAAGGATCAAATTGCATCTCTTCCACTTCAGATGTACAGATTGGTCTGTTTCCTTGGTCGTCAATTAGTTTCCCTTCATAACCGCTCAATCTCTACGGACTTGGGAATTCATATAGGTCGTTTCCAGGAGACTATGACTTTTGAAAACAGAAAAACATATGACAAGCAAACATTTATCACACCTCAGTGGCAGCATGCAGATTGCAAAACACTGTTATTTACCAAAATCCTAATATATTTGGTTCATCTCTATGCTAAATTTTTTCATAAGAAACAAGAAATTTATTGAAGAGAGAAAGAGAAGTACAAAACAAGATGGACACAGAGTCCATTTGAATCAAACACCTAAAAACAGAGCGCACGCATTTCTGAAGACAGATTACTATACACAATCAAATTGAGACTGACATGGTAAAAGAAATAGTAAATATGAAATAACTACTTGACAAAAGATATATAGCTGAAACAGATCAGACTATGAATGACTACTTGCACCACTTCAAAGCCTTACAAGGTCAATAAAAAGATGACACAGTAAAAGAAATAGTAAGTATGCTTACCAGATCATCACCAGCTTTGATTTCCACCTTTGGAAGGACTATAAGCCGAGAATCCCGTCCTTCAGGAGTTGCTGCTTTCCTACGTCCAGATAAACTAGAACTTCTATCCAGAGAAGAAGACAAAGACCCGGATCTCAGTCCACTAGTAACTGTAGGAGAGCGGGCTGATGAGGAAGAAACCTTTGAGACTGACTTCCTGACTCCACTGCTAGCACTACTGTCCAATGAAGACGTCACCCTTCTTGAAGATGAAGATGAAGATGAAACAGACAATGCTGGCTTGACAGAAGGTTTCCTGACAGTCTCTTGCTTAGTCACCTGAGACCCAGTTGATTTATTCAGACTCCGGTCTAATGGCGATCCTGGAACCGACTTTCTAACCTCTGAAATACTGGTTCGAGTTGAAGATTTAGTAGTGCCAGCTGAAGGCAATGAACTCCTCCTCAGTTCTGGGAGAGACCGCCTTACAGCGTCCGTGGTCTTTTTCACTGCACTTGGAGCAGCTGCAGCATTGTTTTGCTGTCTCGTGGTGGAGACTGCTGGCTTCTGAGGCAAACCTCCAGTGCTGTTTCGCCTTGCTACCGGAACTGAATTCGAACTCCGGGAAGACACAGTTACACTTGACTTGTTGGCACTCGAACTAGGATCCAAACCACTTTTGGGGTCTACTTTCTTTCTAACAGAACTAGTTGGAACCGAGACCTTTGATGTAACCGCAGCACCAGGTTTCACAGTTTTGGCAACTCTTTTTGCAGTTTCGGATGAACGAACAGAGGCCTGTTTCTCTGGCATTCCGGGCTTTTCAGCTGGGTCTTCGCCCGATTGCACTAAATTGTCCTCCATTTTAGTTCACTAACCGAAAGCTACATTCCAACAACAGTGAACAAAGCCGGGTAAGTTTTTCGAGCCGCTGTGTTTGGTTTCCAAGAAAATGCAGAGGAAAATGAAAAGAAAAATAGGAGAAAATGAAAGACTTCTGTAAACATTTACACCGTTTACTCAACTAAGCTGAAAGCCTCAGAGTCATTCCTCACCTCCAATTTTCACCAACTAACTAAAGGGTAATTCAACTAAAACTTCATATGACAAAACATTTCAGAAGCAAAACCTCTGCTCTTGTAAATGAAAGATCATACTTGGATCTAGCACAAAATGCAGATTCTTAGCAAATACCCAAGCACCCAGTTCGACTGAAGCTGCGACAATGGACTTAGAAAGAAACTCAAAGGACAAATTCAAACACACACACACACATACAGACACAAATAAACACAGAGATAGAGAGAAAAATATTAACCTGGACAATGTCTCAGATCTGGGGTGTTACAAAACCAAAACCGAAACTGTAAAGCATTTCTAGGGTTCGATTATTTTGGCAGAAGCTCAAAGCAGGCTTCGAAGTGTCCGCTGCATCGTGGCACCAAAAAAGCACCTAAAAAGCAGTAGAGTGAGTGAGAGACTGCTCTCTTTGCTGAGCTAAGAAATGGAAAAGCTATTGGCTAAAGGCCAGGCCATGCCATGTGGGGGTTAAAATATGATTGGAAAAAAGTTGTCTTCTAGAAAAAATTTGCAAATGTTAAAAAAAAATGGCGGAAACTGTAATGCATTCAAAACACTGTGCAGCTCCCTGCAGAGTTGAAAAGGTCAAATGGATCTTGGAAATTGGAAATGGAAATAGGTTAGTGAAAACTAAGTACAGTCTGCTTTGGATAAATTATTCTGTGCTTTTCCTTTAAGCTTCTTACCAAAACCACAAAGTGACAGAATTTACTAACCCACAATCATTCTTACCTCTTTTTTCCTTTTTGGTCTAGCATTCTTTATCTTCTCTTTCTTTCTTTTTTAATCTCCATCTCTGTAAATTGGAATTGTTCAAGACAGTGTGTGTAGCAGCATAAATACTTATCTCAATACACGATTCAAGTTCAAAGTATGACAACATAGATATACAACTTAGTTATTATTTCATCAAATTATCTTAGCCTTATTTAATTAATTTAATTAGTAGTTATATTTTAATTATTATTTCTTTAGTGAATAATTAGTATTTAAATATTTAAATTAATTCCATCAATTACTCAATATTTTTAAAAAAAAATTTACAAAATTAGTTTTTTAGTTTAATATTGTAATTAAGTAATATCTTAGCATTATTTAATTACTTTAATTAGTAATTATGTTTTATTTATTATTTATTTAGTGAATCATTAGTATTTAAATATTTTAATTAATTCATAAATTACGTCATAAATAGTAAATAGTTATATTTCATTATCTCAAATAACTTTTGGACTTCAAAATTATTGAAAAATAGTTTCAATCATTTAAAAATCCTAGAAAATTATTTTAGTATTCCAAACTCTAAATCCAAGTAAAACATCCTAACTTCCAAACTTTTCCAACATTGTTCCAAAACCGTTCACAAAGCCTCTAACCCTACCACTAAATCTAGTTTCTTTAGTTTTTTTTTATCCAGCTTCTTTTATTTAATATATGTAATTAAGTAATATTTTAGTATTTTTTTAAATACTAATGAAAATAATTAAATAAAGCTAAGATATTATTTAATTTAAAAAAAAAGAAAAATTATTGACCTAAAGAAACACCTGTCTTCGATGAAATTTCGTGGCACAGGTCTATGCTGGAGAAAATTTGTCGGATTAGACTTCTCACGATAAAGTTCTGCTGGCTATGTCTATGCTGATGAATTTCATCAGGAGAGGTCTAATTCGGCAAATTTTTGCCGGTATATTTCTATGCCAACGATTATTCATTGGAATAGGTTTTTAAAAAAATATATATATAAAAAATTAGTTTATTTAATTAAGTAATACCTTAGACTTTTTTTAATTGCTTTAATTTGTGATTATATTTTAATTATTATTTATTTAGTGAATATTTAGTGTTCAAATATTTTACTAATTTCATGAATTACTTAATAAATAGTAATTAATTATTTTAAATTATTCGTGTGCACTTTGTTTTTGGTTTTTTTAAAACAAAATTAGTTTGTTTAGTTTAGTATTTGGGGTTTGGAAGGTAAAATTCATTTTTAGAATACTAAAATAATTCTATAGGTTTTTAAATCATTGAATTTTTTTTAAAAATAATTTCATAGATTAAAAATAATTTTAAAGTCCACACAATTATTAAAGATAATTAACTACTATTTATTAATTAATATATGAAATTAATTACAATATTAAAATACTAATTATTCACTAATTAAAGTAATTAAATAAGGCTAAAATATTAAACTAAACAAGAAATAATCATCATCATCATTATGGGACGACGTGACATATTTGATGGTAAAGTTGTAAAAATGAGATATTACTTCTTATACAAATTTATAAATAAATCTAATCCTAAACATGTATTTATAAAAAAACCAAAGTACTATTTAAATATAGAAACACCCCTAAAATCAACAATTGTATATTTTTTATGTGTGTTTATAAATGAGTTTTGAGTATGTGGAATGATGAATTTTTGGTGTATTTATAAAGTCTTTTGGGTGTTGGATTTTTTTATAATTCCAGTCTCCATTTTGGGTGAGCTGGATGATACACGTATCCAAACAGCCCCAAATTTATTCAGCTGCGTCGTCGACACTGCGTTGATAATATTTGCTGCAAAGCAACGAACATTCCCGGCACAAAAAGCAAAAGACTTAACAGAGAAACTTTGACAGAGAGAGAAACAGGAGAGAGAGACTCTACAATGGCGAATGAGAAGCCTCTGAGGAAAATATCGCAGGCATTCAAAGAGCTCGAGGCAGCCGTAAACTCCCAAACAGCGGAAATCGAGGTCGCGCCGTTCTCCAGCGCGTGCTCTCTGGTGTCGCCTCTGTTCGGATGCTTGGGCATCGCCTTCAAGTTCGCCGAGATAGACTACGTCGCCAAGGTACGTAATTTCAATTTTCCGTTTGGTTCCCGGGAAAATCAACGAAATGAACACGAATCAAAATCTGGAACTTTTCCGTTTGAATTTGATCGATTTCTGGATGGTAACAGGTCCATGATCTCGCGGAGGCATCGAAGTCAATCTCGACCTTACCGGTTTTGCTCGACCGCGATATCGAAGGGGATTCCGTGAGAAAAGCCGGTAGTCATTCGAGGAATTTGCTGAGAGTTAAACGTGGGCTCGACATGGTTAGGGTACTCTTCGAGCAAATTATAGTCACCAAGTACGTATTTTCAACTACTATTTCTTTTCATTATAGTTGGACTATTTGCTTGTTCATTTCCAATTTCATTGTATATGTATTGCATCGAAAAGAGAAGGTGCTGATTTCAAATGGTGAGCTTCATCTAAGGAAAACATGCATTCTAGTACAAAGTTTATTGGGATTATTTGCCCATGGAAAATGCTAAATGTATTTTAAGTTTCAGTCAAAAATCACACTTTGCACCATAAATTTTCATTTTGGTTCAATTCTGTGTATTTATACCCAAAACTTGTGCACATTGTACCACTGCAAGTCTGCAAATGTTAGTCATTCCTTCAATTTTTGCGTTAGATGAGACAGATTAGTGACCTGTGACCACTATTTAATCCAATGTAAGGGTAGAATTGAGATGAAAAATATATTCTCGCTCAAGCAGCTGCAGCGGTTGTACAGTCATACATGGATGCCTTCCCTTTACTGCATCTCGTTTGTTGTTTCTAGTTGTTTTAGGAGAGAATGTATTTTTCATTTACTTACTTCCCAGAAATTGGTTTAAATGGTGACCGTGTGGTGACCGATATATTTAATTAACATTGACATTAAACAGAGTTAGCATTGCTACAATGTAATAGGGTAGGCATAAATTGTTTACATTGAAATATCATGAACCAAAGTGAAATTCGCTCCAGCTAAGGGGTCGAAGTGGAATTTCCTACAAAGTTATTTGGATGCCGAAGTTCCTATGATGTGGTTAAAGTATTAATATTTCTTTATTTTCGTTTGGAGGGGAAATTCCTTGAAGGATGCTGCTTCCAAGGCTTATGCACAGGTGTTTGCTCCCCACCATGGGTGGGTCATCCGGAAAGCTGTTGCTGCAGGGATGTATGCACTTCCTACTAAAGAACAACTATTACATAAACTCAATGAAGATGGTGAGTGAATCAAGAGAGTATTACATTTGCTTCTTATCTTATAAATCTCAACAAAGAATTTGGCTGCAATGAGAGTTAAATTTTGACATTTTGTACCACGATGAGGGCTGGAGCTGTGGTTTCATTTTTAAACCTATACACACCCCGTTTGACCTTTGATCAGTTTGAGTGGAGCTTTATTGAAATGTTTGAAAACTAAGGATTGGCTACTTACCTGGTTTTGACTTTGCTTGGTTTCCAATTTGATATCTGGTCTTGCTTCCACCTTCCCCATCAGTTTAGATAAAACTTTCAAAACTCAAGTCTTCTAAAATTATATCCAGTCTTACTTCTACCATTCCTTTCATTTATAACTTTTAAATATCAAATTTTCCATAATTCACATTGTGTATCTGTGTCATTAAGATACTCTGATTTCAGATGATTTGAGTCTAGGGTTGAAATGTTCAGCACTCGCTTAGTACCGGCTATATTTGTCACTTTGCCAATAGATTGTGGGATAAAAATTGGGAGGAAAAACCCTTGGATTGATTATGTTTGCCCCTTTCTTTTTTTCCTTTGTTTCAAAGAAACTTTTATTTTTTTAGTTATAAGTGACCAGTTGTATGAACTCCACATTGCTTTCACTTTGTTTATTTCAGAGAACTCAGCAAGCGTTCAAATGCAGAATTACATTGCTGCTTCGACTCCTCTAATTCTGTACATCGACAAACTCTTCCATTCAAGGAAATTGGGTGTAGATTGGTAAAGCAGGAATCGCATTGTAATTTATGGAGAATTGTAACTGAGATAATTTAATCAATTGGCATTATATATACATTAGTAATTGATGTCATTGATTTATTAGAAAATACTGTTGTATATTCTGAAAAATTATTGATAAAGTGATGCAGGTTTGGATTCTCCCATGATCCAATATGCTCACAACTTTTTTCCTCTGGTGCCGGATTAGAGTTGAATTGTGCTTTGCTGAACCCTATTTTTTCTGTCTATAACTGTATTGAATAATTGCAACAAGTGAATGATCCATTTGATCAACATAAAGAGTGGTAAACTAACTTATAAAATTTGGCTTGCTTTTCCAATTTGTGCGTTGTGTTGTGGTGATAATTTTACATAAACCAAAGTTTTCTGTTTATAAGTGTGTTCATAATTGCAACTTTAATCTGATCTACCAAAATACATTGATAAATCATGAACTTATATATATATATATATATATATATTTATATGAGTATAAAATAAATCCCTCGGAAAGCCTTGAAGACCAATTATTCCATCATATGAGTATAAAATAAGAATCGAAAATGAATTTAGGATTCCGAAAGAATATACTAAAAAAATCCCAAGCTCATTTTAAGGAAAAAAAAAACAAATCAAATTGGGATTTTCAAATGAGAAGATGTGCACAAAATGGATGGAAAAACCAACTCATTCCATCAAATAGAAACCTACAAGGAGGAGAATGCAAAAAAGAACAAATGCACCAAGGTGTTGGACACTATGTTGACCTCACCTCCTTCTCAAGCAAATCCTACAAATCAAGGGATAACTCTTACTTGTCATACCCCACATCCCACCAAACAGGGGGTAGCTATGCCACCTCCTATACCTTCTCAATGCCCAAGACCCCAAATCAAGGGGAGCCATGCAAAAGTCCCAGCAATAAATCAAACTTAAAAGGGAACTCACCACCTCCAAGCAAAGAGAGGATCATCTGCCATGGCTGGGAAGCTCTCAAAATATCTCCAAAGCTCACTCTTTTGTCTTACAAAGGCTCTCAAGCCTTTCTCTTTTCATGTACAATGTAAACCATACTCAAATACAAATACGAAGCTATAAACTAGAGTGGATGTAGCCCTATTATGGGTGAACAACTCAAACACTGTTATGTGTGTGATTATGTCCAATCCGCCAGGTACAAATTCACCCGTTAACACAAAACCCTAAACGATTGCTCCCAGTAAGCTATCCCCAAAAAGAAAACAAGAGAAATTGCAATAATCGACCAAAAACCAAAAAAACAAAAAACACCATAAGTTCAATCGCTAGCCCACCTAAATTCTGTTTGGTTGGGCCAGGCTGCTAGTTCCTTCTTTCGCTAAATGGCCTATGACAACTGAGAACCTAAACCCGGAGACCCGCCAAAATTTCTAACCCGACCAGAACCGACCGCCCAAACCCTTTCTCTGCGCGTCTTCGTGTTCGCGCCCTTTGTTTGTTGCTGTGTCTCGTCGACTGTGAGAGCCACCTCTTTCAGCTCCCCTCATTCACTTCCTTCCTTGTTCCTTCTTTAGTCAACCAAATCTCAAAACGCACGTTTCGCATCTCTCTCTGTAAAACCCTAATGACATAAACAAAACCCCAATTCCCAATTCCCAAACTCCAAACTCCAAACCCCAAATCTACACACAAAGTTCACCAAATGGAAGACTCAGACGGAGACATCAACTTCGACTTCGAGGGGGGCCTCGACGCCACCGCAGCCGCGGGCCCCACAAATCCGGGTCCACCGTCTAATTCTCTGATGCAGTCCGACTCGGGCGTTGCGGCGGTGGAAACCAACCCTGCCGCTGCGGCGCCACAACCCAACCACCCGAATCCCAACCGGTCGGGTGGGCGGAGCTACCGCCAAACGGTGTGCCGTCACTGGCTGCGTAGCCTTTGCATGAAGGGCGAGGCCTGTGGGTTCCTCCATCAATACGACAAGTCACGCATGCCTGTGTGCCGCTTCTTCAGGTTGTACGGCGAGTGCAGGGAGCAGGATTGCGTGTACAAGCACACCAACGAGGACATTAAAGAGTGTAATATGTATGTGTTTGTTCCTTTATGCCCATTTCCGCGTTCATCTCTCTGTTTTTTAATTTGGTTGAATTTTATGGTTTTAATTTCGTGATTCTAATATGGAGATTAATGGGTAGGATTGAATATACTTGAATAGAATTGTGTGCTTTATTGTGATACGGATGAGGTCAATTGTGTTACAAATTGTTGTTATTGGTATTTGGACCCCCTGATTTGGTAGATTCAAGGTGCATAAGAGGAGGGTTGAAGGAAGAAAATTATCTGTAGTTGTTGTTTCTCCTCCGTATTATTTGAAAGTCTAGTTCCAGTGTGAAGAAACCATCAATGTGTGAATCAAGGGTGTATGTTCTTATGGAAGGATTTTGTCATTGCAGGTACAAGTTAGGGTTTTGTCCAAATGGTCCTGATTGCCGGTATAGACATGCAAAGCTGCCTGGACCTCCACCTCCTGTGGAAGAAGTCCTTCAGAAGATTCAGCATTTGAATTCTTATAATTACAACACCTCAAATAAATTTTATCAACAACGGAATGCTGGCTTTCCCCAACAAGCCGATAAGTATCAGTCTGCACAAGGCCCCAATTCCGTCTATCAAGGTGTGGTTGGAAAACCTTCAACAGGAGAGTCTGCTAATGTCCACCAGCAGCAACAGGTTCAACAAACCCAACAACAGGTTGGCCACACGCAGACACAAAATCTACCCAATGGCCTAGTCAATCAGGCAAATAGAAGTGCGCCTTTGCCTCAAGGAATATCTAGGTGTGTTCAGAGTCCCAAGGTTTTTTATTAGATGTGTAAATCAGTTTCTGTATTCTTTATGGGCATTTTATAAAAGATAAATTGTTTGATCAATACTTTCCCAAGAGAGTTCTGCCCACTGCTGTCAGCTGTAACTAGCTTTCTTTAAACCCGCATTAGTTAATTTTATAAATAATTACTCTGTACAAGTTGTATTTGACCATGTGATGTATGGGTTTTGCTTTTTCAATATGTAGTTTACTTCTCTTTATGATTTGTACACGGGAGGTTGCTATTTCCCATTAAGCTCTTGGGCTAATTTATTTTGCTTTGAAAGATGAATGATCTACTCTTCTATTGTTCTATTCTTCCACTCCACTCAGAAGAAGGAAAATATGTAGCAAGACTTACTTTTGTGGGTGCTATAGATGTAATAAGAAACAGCTGAAATTATTTTTTGTTACACATAAATTTCACACTCAGTATTGGCTTTTGAAGTTATGCTATAAGATGGCTGTATAGGTTCAAGGATTTTTATAAAAAAGTGCATGGGCAAACTGCTACTTGGAAATTTCCTTAATGCCCTACTATAATTATCATCTTTTCCGTGAAATTTTATTCTGTAGTAGACAATACTCAGTAGTCATATGATTCTTCCAAGGTGATAGAATAACTATAGACTGTTCCTCTATCCATGTTTAATTAGTGCACCTGTTTTTATAAGATTGAATGTACTTATTTATTTCGAACATCAAACCTTAGGTATTTTATTGTTAAAAGTTGCAACCGTGAAAATTTGGAATTATCTGTACAACAAGGAGTGTGGGCAACTCAAAGGAGCAATGAGTCCAAACTTAATGAAGCTTTTGACTCTGCTGAAAATGTGATTTTAATTTTCTCAGTCAACCGGACTCGACATTTCCAGGTAGGATTGCAAATTAAATTCCAGTGTTTCTCGTAGCTTACTATTTTGTTCTTCTATCAAGTTATTTCAAATCCATGGTTTTAATCTACTGGAGGTGTTAGAATTAAAATCACCTATGCTTTGTTAGGGTTGTGCAAAGATGATGTCCAGAATTGGTGGGTCTGTTAGTGGAGGGAACTGGAAATATGCACATGGATCTGCGCATTATGGGAGAAATTTCTCTGTCAAATGGTTAAAGGTATTATTTTGTTGAACTTTTTATGGAAACTTTCTATGTGTTGATCTAGAATTTGCATCCCCTTTCTGATAATTTTTTTTCTGCTGCAAATGATGGCAACTACAGGATCCCACAAAGTTTGTAGTTCTTAGTGTCTTCTATGTGTTACTATTATTGTTGTGGTTACTCTTATGGATTGGGTCATGGTGATGAGTATGGCTCTGTTTCTCATCTCCTTGTTGAGCTGATTGTTACAGACTAGAAAATTTACATTAATATTTCAAGATATTTGTTTGGGGACCAATATCAAAATAAATTATTAGTCCATCACATTAATAGAATACTTTGATTACGTGAGCCCATTTGGTTATAATCGACGATATCTTTTTTTCATTTGTTTGAGGCCTTGTATCTTAATAGTTACTATTTTTGTTTCTATTTCTTCCTATTGTTGGTTAGAATCAAGAGTCAAGTTGGCCGTACTTGTATTCGGCTTAAAATTATTTGGAGCTTTTAGTATTTGAATTCATAAGATTTGAACCTAACCCTCTCCTGTGTGTCACCCGAGCCAAGGTTCAGTTGGGACCGCTACTCCATCTGGAAACTAGGAGAAGCTAATAGAATAGAACAGCTGAAGTTTAAATCTAATAAGCAGTAAAATGATAAGATGTCATGACTAATTGCAGTTTTTCTTGTGCAGCTATGTGAACTGTCCTTCCACAAAACTCGTCATTTGAGGAACCCCTACAATGAGAACTTACCAGTAAAGGTACAATCTGGAGCTTTAAAACTATAGATCTACTCATGTAAACTCTGTTAGTTTTTGTGTGTTCTGTCTTGATTGATTGTGAAGTCACCCAATTATTATTTCTGTCAGGATTTTCAGCATGTATCAGTAGGCTGCAGGTTTGTCATGCTAATCCATGATTCAATCAGCCGAAAACATGATCTTACTATTTGTTTTTTGCTTTTCCTGAAATTTGGTTTTGCTTTCACCATCACCATCCTAGTATTGTTAATAACTGTGATGGTTATTGGACTATGACTTAAAACTTTGAAAGATGATCTTCAGAACCTTTCTGTATGTGGGTGGTAATGTGTTACTGATCATGCATGCCAAGGCCTTTTGGGCAAAATTACACCTTTCCCCTGTAGTAGTATTTTCTGGAGGGTGAGTCCACAAGTTGAATACCTGACGGGTGTATGAGTAGTTTTTTTATTTTATTTTATAAAAGACATAATGTTTTTGATTAGATGAAAGTTACAATACAGGACTAGGAGTCCACTGAACAGTCTTGAGTACTAAGCTAAAACTAATAACAACAAAACATCACATACTGAACAGTTTTGTTCCTCCCTGTTAGTTTGGGAGGGATTGGTGCTGTTTGTTTCTCTCTGTGTTGTTTTTTGTTTCTTCGGTTGTGGTTGCCTTTTCCACCTCTGTGTTCTTTTACGTAATAATTTTCTTCTCAAAAAAAAAAAAAAAAAAAAAAAAAAAAAAAAAACCGAACCCAAAAATTAAAAAAAAAAAAATAAAATCACAAAGCAGCAACCCAGTCTCAGGGTGTGTGAATAAATTACGATGCAAGAATCTATATGTATATATGTATGGACATACTTTTGTATGTCTCTTTGTGGTTTGTGTGTGTGTTATGAACAAATTAGTTTGCATTACTTGAACCATACCATAGAATCCTGCCCAATGACACAGATTATGTTATGGGACCGTGCCTGGGCTAGGTGCTACAAAAATATACAAGTGTTGATGCATCATATAGAGCTTAAATGAAACTGTCTGATAGGACGCTATTTTAATAACTTCTAAACATGCCCAAGTTTTCTTAGCTGTTTCACCATGCTTTTTTACTTGCAATCATTATTATTCTGAACATGTATGCTGGCTGATGTGATACTACTTTCTGTAGACGTATCTTAAGACAAATAAAATTAGCTTTTGAGCTTATTGTCATACTTGTACAATTGCAGATAAGTAGAGATTGTCAAGAGCTAGAGCCCTCCATTGGTGAGCAGTTGGCTTCCTTGCTTTATCTTGAGCCAGATAGTGAACTTATGGTATGTTTCAGGGTTTAGAAACAGAAATATTTACAGTGTGTTTATCAGTTTAGTAAGAGTCAATTTTACTCTAGTTCATGGGGGCAGCACAAAAATTGTTTTGGACTATTAAGTCTCCTTTCTTAAAAAAAAATATATATTCAATGTCCACAACTTGATGAAACTGAATGTTGTATATCATTTCCTGTGTACAGGCAGTTTCAATTGCGGCAGAGTCAAAACGCGAAGAAGAAAAAGCAAAGGGAGTCAATCCGGAGAATGGTGGTGAGAACCCAGACATTGTCCCATTTGAGGACAATGAAGAGGAGGAAGAGGAAGAAAGTGACGATGAGGAAGAGAGCTTTGGTCCAGTTCCGGGGGTAGGAAATGAGGGCAGAGGAAGAGGCAGAGGAGGAATCATGTGGCCCCCTCACATGCCACTAGCAAGAGGTGGTAGACCTATGCCTGGGATGCAGGGTTTTCCCCCAGGAATGATGGGTGCTGATGCAATGCCCTATGGACCTGCACCTGACGGATTTGGTATGCCAAATCCTTTTGGTGTGGGCCCTCGTGGTTTCAATCCATATGGTCCCAGGTTTTCTGGTGATTTTACAGGGCCCACGCCTGGCATGATGTTTCGTGGGCGACCACAACAACCTGGATTTCCACCTGGTGGTTATGGGATGATGATGGGTCCTGGACGTGCACCATTTATGGGAGGCATGGGGGTTGGAGGTGCAAATCCAGGCCGGCCTGGTCGGCCAACTGGTATGTCTCCAATGTTTCCACCACCATCATCTCAAAACACTAACAGGATGCAGAAGAGAGATCCAAGGGGACCTTCCAATGATCGAAATGAGAGATATAGTGCTGGCTCAGGCCAGGGGAAGGGTCAAGAGATTCCAGGTTCAGCTGGTGGACCAGATGATGAGGCACGTTATCAGCAAGCATCAAAGGCTTACCGGGAAGATCAGTACGGTGCTGGTAACAACTCTAGAAATGATGATAGTGAAAGTGAGGATGAGGCACCGAGGCGGTCAAGGCATGGAGAGGGAAAGAAGAAAGGGAGAGGCTCAGAAGGAGATGTTACCTCTGAGCACTAGCAGATGCTGCTAGTTCGGCAGTTTTAGTGATGCCACTAACGAGGGAACCTATTTTCCCCCCTGATAGATCAGACAATCGATCCTCAATATTTGGATTCTTTTAGGTGCCGAGGGGAACTTAGAACTGCAACATTCTCTTCCCATTTTGTTTAAAATTTCCAATATGCTGCGACATTCTGTGATATTTTTGTAACTGTATCCTGTAAAAGGGGATGAATGGGTTGTGGAAATTCAGAACTAATTCCACATCATGTTATTCAATATACAGAGAGGATTTGTATCGATAGTGCTGTGTGATGAATATAAATGTCGTTTTTTATACAAGCAATAGTCTAAACTATTAAAAAGAAAGTTGCAAAAAACCTATTCTAAATTAATATAATCTATTTTTTGGGGATATAAATGCCGTTTTTAAATTGGACTCTTGTCCGGTTATATTTTTGCACGTTTCATTTTTCTTCCTTGGTGTTTGTAGGGGCTTTTTTCTTCCAGCAGCTACAAATGGGCTGGGCTGCCGTAAAGAGCAGATGGATGAAATTGCCCCTTGAGCCTGAGTTAGAAGATCAAGCCCCAAAGAATGCTTCGAAAGGCCAGAGATGCCTTAAGAAAAACCTTGGTTACTTTCACCAATGAAAATAACAGCAACTTATAGATGATTTCTTGATGCTTACAGATAAATTTTATAGTTTAGCATGAGAGGCTTGTGGCATGAAAATAAAATCAGCATGAGTTTAACACCAAAGAGGAAAATATGGCTTCCTAGGGAGAAAGGGGAGTGTTTAAGGTGAGGAAGAAGAGGTTTGCAGGCTGATTTCGCTAAGAAGAGAGAAAGAAAGAACAATGTTCTTCTGGCAGCTTGACGAAGCTTCTGACAGATGTGAAAGTGGTCTACCATAAGAGGAAAATGGAGAAGAAGGGTGAATAATGCACGAAATTGCTGGGTTTTTGCAGGTAAGAGAGAAAGCTTGCTCTCTAAATCTGAGTTGAGTTTTGTTGGGTAGAAGAGGCCTCATTTTATAGCTTGCTGGAAACTATCCTTTCCCAAGAAACCCTAAGGGGTCGTTTGGTACGGGGGACTGTCATGGACTGGATTAAGTATTGGTACTGTCGTGGATTGGCTTGGCCTGGCATAAGCTGAATAACATTTGTACCACGTTTGGTGTATGTTTGATTGGACTAGGACTTTTTTTTTTTCTTCTGCAAAGTTAGATTTTTATATATTTTTTTGACTTTTCTTCTCTCTCCATCTTTTTCTTCCTCTGTGCATCTCGTTTTTTAATTTTTGGACGAACCTCTCTGCATCTCTTTTATCTTCTTCTTCTCCATTTTCTCTCCTCTACTTTTGTCTACTTTTCTTTTCTTTTCAAAAAATTTCTCCCATCTTCTCTCCTCTTTTTCTCCATTTTCTTTCCTCTTCTCCTCCATTTTCTTTCTTCTTCTCTATTTTTTTCGAAAAATTTCTCTCATATTTTCTTCTCCATTTTCTCTCCTCTTCTCTGTTTTGTTTTTAGAAAATTTTATGTTCTCTCCTCTTCCTCTTCTATTCTGTCGTCTCCTTCTTGGGTGGCTGTGGCTGGTGGCTGTGGCTGGTGGTCGTGGTGGGTGGTTGTATCTGGTGGTTGGGGATGCTGCTTGGTCGGTCATTGGTTGTGGGCGATTGGGTGTGGTTGCTAGTTGCTTGGGTCGTCGGGACTGTTAGTCCCTCCTCTCCAGACGGGTTTAGCTAAGAACACCTAAGGAGGTGTTTTTGGTGGGCCCAGTATTAGTTAATCCCATTTAAAATTAGAACAAGGTGAAACAAACATGGGATAAAACTTTAGCCAATCCAGTCCAAGCCAATCCCTTGTACCAAACAAGCCCTAATGGTTTCTTCCCAACTTGGCTAAGCTTTTTCTTCCTTTCTCTTCTCCTCCCTTGACTTTTCTATCTTGGTGAAATTTCCTCTATCTATTTGCACAAAATCAAGAATTTTGGGAGCTCAAGGCCCCATTTCCCGTGTTTTAGTGGGAGACTTCCATTCCCAGCTATCTCCTTCCTTTCTTTCTTTCCTTTTTCCATGGCCAGGTCTGATGGGGGAAGGAATTGGGGTATGTATGCTGGTTCGAAGAGTGCTTCTCTTCCTGGTAGCTTGCACGTTAATATCCCTTGTTCTTCGGGTGTTTTGTGCTTGGAACTTGTTCCTTTCCAGCAATTCTGCATATGTGGACATCTCCTTGGTTTTTTTTTTTTTTTTTTTCTTTCTTCCAAAGGAGCTGAGGCTTTGGCTTCTTCTGTTTTCTAATTGTATGGGCCTTTTAAGATAATGAGTTGGTTTGTCAAAATAAATGGGCTAACCTCAACAAGTGTTGGACTATTTTTGTTGCGGTGTTGGGCTAATTTGGTTAAGCTAATGGGCTATTTCCTCTTTTATACTCACTCATATGTTTGGGCTTAAGAAATGGGCTTGAGTCCTGAGGCTCCAAAGCAATCTAAGACTTCCATTTCTCGGCCAATCAATGAGCCTCATGTTGATTTATTACCATCCATACCACAACCCACTCAAGCAAGCCCAGGGTATTTGAGTGGCTTGGGGCCCACTTAAGCTTGTGGCGTGATTAGGTGCGGAATAATAATTCCTTGCTTGGCGTGGGGTGTCGCTTGGCGTGGCATGTGTGAAAGCGCATATGATGAACTTTCGCGTGCCCAAATCAGGTTTCTTCTCGATAAGGTATCGTATTGGGCCGAGAATTTATTTGGGCCGAATTTTTGTTTTTTTTTATTTTTTTGTTATTCTTTCAATTTCAGTCAACATTGAGAATAGAAATATCACTAAACTTATAGATAGTTGGTAGCATAATTCAACCTTTAGATCATGAAAATGGACAAGTGAATTGATGTTATGATTGACTGTTAACATTTGGAAAGAAGTTAATTGCCATCAAATTATTTGGTTAAGGTAGGCAGCAGTCAAGGGTAATTTTGGAAATTCAGAAAATGTAGAAGCCCAACTCACTAAACATTGGAGCCCAGAAAAAAGAAACAGCTATTTGATGGGCTTGCAACAACAGAGTTCAAATCAATCAAATCCGGGTTAAAATGGGTATTTGTAACCCATGACCCGAAATTCTAACGCTAAAGAAGCTCTTCACCGTCTTCTTCGCCGCTTAAACCTTAAACCCTCCAAAAGTAAAACCCTAGCAACTGAAGTAGCAGCATTTGCCTCACATTCCGTACATTCCAACCATGAAGAACAAGAAAAAAGGAGGCTCAGCTCCCAAGGGACCTAAGGCAGCCAAAAAGAGCAAGACTTACTCTCTCAATGAAGACTCGTTTTTTAGCACTGAATCGAAGAAACGCCGAAAAATCGACCGTGATGAGATAGAGAGCGATTCAGACGACGACTATGGCGTCGTTGGATCGGATGGAGAGGGCGGTGGAGAGGAAGCTGAGGAGGCTGAGGCTATAGAAGAAACTGCAGATGAGAAGAGGAAGAGGATAGCGCAAGAGTACTTGGAGAAGGTTCGAGGATTAGCAAGGAGGGAGAAGGAAGATGAGGAGGATGAGAGTGATGAAGAAGGTGAGAAGGAAGGCGAGAGAGACTCGCTTGTTGCCAAGATTTTGCAGCAGCAGCAGCTCGAGGACAGTGGCCGAGTTCGCCGTGCCATTGCTTCTAGGTAATCAATTTCGTTCTTGTATTTTGTTTTTTGATTAGATTGTAGGTGGTGTTATTGTTTTGGAACTCGACCAATTTATAGTGGCATTTGATCGATATTCAGATTCAAAGTTGTGAACTTTATAAACTCCCCTTTGGGTTTAATGCTACTTTGATCAGATGCTGTCATCAGCTTTCTTGCTTGACAGCTCTGACACCGATAAGCTTGGTATCTTGGTAAGTTCTTTTTTTTTTTTTTTTTTTTTTTTTTTTTTTTTTTTTTTTAGTAATGGAGCAACTGGATTTTGCTCCATAACTGGAGAAGTGTATGCTCTCTAACGGATTGTTTCATAGTTTAATTTGTGGTAGCATGTTTCTAATTGTCATGCTTAATCCTCTCATTTCAGGGTTCAAAAGCCTGAATCTACTGATGAATTTCGGATCTCAGTGAAGCATCGACAATCTGTTACTGCTGTGGCTCTGTCCGAGGATGACTTCAAGGGCTTCTCAGCTTCTAAGGATGGCACCATTCTTCATTGGGATGTAGATAGTGGGAAAAGTGAAAGGTATCTATGGCCCCGTGATGAAGTATTAAAGTCTCATGGGGTTAAGGATCCGCAAGGTCGAGCCACAAAGCATAGTAAACATGTGTTAGCTCTAGCAGTTAGCTCCGATGGTCGGTATTTGGCAAGTGGAGGCTTAGATCGCCATATTCATTTGTGGGATACTCGTACACGAGAGCATATTCAGGTAGATATGATTGGTCAGTTACTTTGTTAGTTATGGAATAGAATAATATATGAACATATATGAAATTGTTAGGAGGTTTTAGTTTAATAAAAGCACTTAAATTGATTAGGTTAGAGGAATGCAGGTGACCTCTCATGCTGTAAGGACAATTCACTAACAGTAAAATCTCTATTGTATTGGCAAGGGCTGCAAATCATGTAAATGACCTGTTTTGTTTTTATTTTCTTTAAACAACAAGAGAAGTATGTTTTTTGCTTGATCCAACGGAAGTACATGCTTTTCTATTGGCAAAGCAGCGTTCTTTGTAAGCTGAGTCATCTGTCGATCTGTTGGGATGCATTTCCAAGTTAAAGACACGGATTAGGTTTTATGTCTGATTTTCTGATTTATAGTTTAGAAAATATCCTAAAGAAAATACTAAAATGGCAGGCCTCGGGAAATATTGTTTCTCAACTTTAAGTCTTACAGTAAAATTTGTGATTTTCTGATTTTATCATGTACATACCCACTCTCCATCTTCTCTCTTCAAATTCTATTAGAAGCAACATTTGTGAATCTGGAAACAATGAGTTCTTGAGTTTCTTAATCAGCATTTGTGTTTTTTAACAGGCTTTTCCAGGTCATAGAGGCCCCGTTTCATGTTTAACTTTCAGGCAAGGGGCATCAGAACTTTTTTCTGGTTCATATGATCGAACAGTTAAGATATGGAACGTTGAAGATAGAGCTTACATAGATACATTATTTGGTCACCAAGGAGAAGTATTAAGTATTGATTGCCTACGAAAAGAACGGGTTTTGTCTGTTGGACACGATCGAAGCATGCAGTTATTTAAGGTAAGAAGTATATATTTATGTGTTTTGGGGAATGGTTGCAAAAGAAACTTAGTTCAAATGAAATCACGTGGACAGAAGCTACTATTTCTGATTATTCTTTCCCCAATGGTCCCATTTCTAGAAACACCAACCATCATAGGAACCTCTAGTTTCCTTTGGATCCCATTGATATTGGAGTACACATTGGCAACCTTTTTAGGATGGACTTGCTTGGATAGTTTCTTTTTTGGGAGTTTCACTAAAACACCCAAAATGGGGGCTGAAATTATAAAAATACCCAACACCCAAAACACTTTATAAACACACCCAAAACCCATCATTACACACACTCAAAACCCATTTATAAACACACCCAAAAAATATACAATTGTTGATTTTTGGGTTGATTTTGGGTGTGTTTCTATGTTTAAATAGTGTTTGGGTTTTTTTATAAATACATGTCTAGGATTGGGTTTATTTATAAATTTGTATTCTTTTTTTCAGCAGTATGTTCTATGTTACTTTGGTGTTTTTAAACCATGTGGTGTAGTTAGACTCAATTTGCTTTCCTTGTTCTTGACACCATTATCTATTCCCTTAATAGGTTCCAGAGGCGTCACGTTTAGTATTCCGTGCCCCTGCATCTTCTTTGGAATGTTGTTGTTTTATTAGCAATGATGACTTCTTATCCGGCTCTGATGATGGAAGTGTTGAGCTTTGGAGCATGCTGCGAAAGAAGCCTGTTTGCATAGTTAAGAATGCTCATCCTTTTTTGGCTGCACGCAAAAATGTTGAACAGAAAGATGGTGATAGAATTCCGAATGGTCACATAGGTAAATTTAAATAATAATTTTTGCTGGCTTCAAGTTTACTCTGTGTACACTTTTCTTCCCAGTCAGTGAAAATATGTATTTGCCGTTTAGCTGGTTTATCCATCACATTTGAATCAGCATAAAAAATTGTACCTTGGGAAAGGTAGATTAAAGCGTCCAGTTATCAATGTAATCTTGTTACACATGTTTTTAACCTGCCTTGGGTTTCTGGTTGACTTGTGTTCTAATGGGATGGTATTGAATTCTGCTGCACAGAAAATGGTGACCACACTTCTCAAAGTTATGATTGTTCATCAACATATTCTTGGATCAGTTCAGTCACTGTTTGCAGAGGCAGTGACCTTGCTGCATCAGGAGCTGGTAATGGCTCTGTTCGTTTATGGGCTGTTGAAAGTGAGAGCAAAGCCATGAAGCCCTTACACGACCTCCCATTGGTATGCCAAAGCAATGACTACAAAACCTTGTTTGCATCTTGTAAATCAAAAGTTAACAAGCTTTTTTCTACTCTTAATATTTTTGTGCCGTGCAGGTTGGATTTGTGAATTCTTTAGCTTTTGCAAAATCTGGAGGATTTCTAGTTGCAGGAGTTGGGAAGGTGACCTCTCTTTTCTTTTTTTTCTTCTTCCTAATCTTCCTATATCATCTTGCCTTTTTCCTTCTCTTATTCCTTTC